GCCTCGCGAAAGCAATCGCGGACAAACCCCCTCGAATGTGCCCCCCCCCCCCCCCCCCCCCCCCTCACGTCGTCGCCCCTACTCGTATTAGGTGCGGTGCCGGTGCTTCGAGGCGCGTTTCGGAGTGCTTTGTGCGTACGGAAGGCAGCGAACGGGCGTACGCACTTGAGAATCGTATTTTAGCAAAAAGCAGTCCAGCTCGCTAGGCCTTACTCGTATTGCTCCACTGTCGCTTGCCAGCCGCCATGTTGCTTTTGGGGGTGCTCACTGGGATTAACTGCTGATTGCGTGCCGTGTGACTGCCCATGGGGTTGTTAGTATAACGAAAGGGGGGTAGCAATATCTGTGACGGCTTCTGACGACCCCAAGTGTAGTACCCTACGACTACCCTTTTGTTGAGAGTGCACGGTTAGACGTGCCCTGTCATGTTCGTCGCTCTGCAAGACTGTGCGAGGGACGTTATCCTCAGAATGGACTTTCTCTGCGAGTATGGTGCCGTCATCGGCCTCGGAGCAAACCGGCCGACGCTACGAAAACATGCTCCACCACTGGAGGAACCCAAAGCGACGTCATCCGCGGTACGAGTCTTCGCAAAGCACGTGAACTTACCGCCGCAGTCGAGTGTTTTCGTACCCGTCGGGATCGATGAGGCTTTCTACGGCGACGTTCTGCTCGAAGGAAGCCTCCAGTTGCTTCTATGAAGAGGGATCAGCGTCGCAAGTGGCATCGCGGAGCTCCGAGACGGACACACTGTCGCACTTGTAACGAACTTCCGACAAGAGGCCCAGCACCTTACGAAAGGCACCGCCGTGGGTGACGCCTAGGAACTCCTGGACTCAGCCGCAATCGCCGGAATATCAGACCTCTCTTCGTGTCCACCAAGACAACACCGCCTTCGCAGTTCGACATCGACCCAACCCTGCCTACCCCACAACGACGACAACTCAGTGACCTTCTCGCCGACTTCAATGAGCGCTTCTCCACGTCGTCAAAGGTGCGCCAAACGACCGTTGCGATACATCGAATTGTTACTGAAGACGACGCGCTTCCTGTTCATTGGGCGCCGTACCGTGTCTCTGTGAAAGAGGATGAAGTCATCCAGAAGCAGGTCCAAGAAATGCTCGATGATGACATTGTCCTGCACTCAAGCAGCGCCACTGGTAGTCCTGGTGAAAAAGAAAGACGGGACTTTTCGGTTCTGCGTGGAGTATCGCCCACTGAACGCCGTAACAAAAAAGGACGTCTACCCGCTCCCACGCATCGGCGACACTCTGAACCGGCTGCGCCACGCCCGATACTTTTCGTCGATGGACCTGAAGAGCGGGTACTGGCAGATCGATGTTGACAAACGGAATCGTGAAACGACTGCCTCCGTCTCGCCGGACGGGCTGTACGAATTTAAAGTAATGCCGTTCGGACTGTGCACAGCACCGGCGACGTTCCAGCACGTAATGGGCACCGTTATTTCAGGCTTGAAATGTCAAAGTTGTCTTGTCTATCTCGACGACGTCGGGGTATTTACAAGCGACTTGGACGAGCACCTGAAACGTTTGCGAGCCATGGTACAGGTTATCCAGAATGATGGACTGACACTGAAGCCGTCAAAATGTCGGTTCACTTACGGCAAGCTCAAATTCCTGTGCCATGACGTGAGTGCTCAAGGTGTAAATCCTGACCCTGCAAAGACATCCGCTGTCGCCGAATTTCCGAAGCCATCAGACAAGAAAGCCGTACGAAGATTTCTTGGGCTGTGCGCTTACTACAGGCGTTTCGTTCGCGTTTTTGCCAAGACGTTTGCACCGCTCACGTACCTGACGAAGGACGACGCGAACTTCCAGTGGGGGGGGGGGGGGGGGGGGGGGGGAGCAAGAACAAGCGTTAAACGAACTGAAGGAAAGTCTCCAGTCACCCCCTGTCCTCGGACACTTCGATTCATCAGCGGAAACGGAAGTTCACACAGATGCCAGCAACACCGGACTAGGCGCGGTGCTCGTCCAAATACAAGACGGAGCAGAGAGGGTGATCGCTTACGCAAGCCGGGCATTGCCCAAGGCAGTGAAAAAATACTCAACGACCGACAAGGAATGTCTCGCTGTCGTCTGGGCGTTAACCAAGTTCTGCCCGTACCTGTACGGGATCCCGTTCCGCGTTGTCAAGGACCACCACGTTCTCCGTTGGCTCGCCAACCTCGAGGACCTGTCAGGACGCCTCGCTCGCTGGAGCCTTCGACCGCAAGAATTCGACGTTACCATTGTGCACAAGTCTGGCCGCAAGCATAATGAAGCCGATTGGTTGTCTAGGTCCCCAGTCGAATCTCCTTCCGACAGCATCGACGACGACGATGACGCTTGTTTTCTCGGAGCAATTACAGTTACCGACATGGGAGCACTTCAATGAGACGGCCCCGAACTTCGCGCCGTGATCGACCACCTCGAAAGTCAAGGAAAGTCCGTTCCGCGATTCTTGGCCCGAAACCTGTCAGGCTTCTTTTTGCGGCGAGGCGTGCTCTTCAAGAAGAACTTCGGAAACAACAACCGTGCCTGGCTGCTGGTTGTTCCTGCCATCCTGCGAGAAGAAATCTTCCAAGCATGCCACGACGACCCGACGGCTGGACACCTTCGCTACAGTAGGACGCTCGCCCGGATTCATGAGAAGTTCTATTGGCTGAGACTCCCGAAAACCGCCCATTTATATACACGGTCGTGCCATGAGTGTCAACGACGTAAGAAGCCTCCGACGAAGCCAGCAGAACTCCTGCAGCTGATATCTGCCTCGACTGCTCCCTTTCAACAGGTCGGAATGAATTTACTTGGGCCGTTCCCAACACGGACGCAAGGAAACCTTTGGATTATCGTCGCAACCGATTATCTTACAAGATATGCCGAGACGAAAGCCCTTCCGTCGGGAACAGCGGTGGAAGTCGCCAAGGTTTTCGCCGAGTCTATTCCCCTTCGACAAGGCACCCCGAAGTCCTCATAACCGACCGAGGATCATCGTTCTTGGCTCAGCTCACGCAAGAGATCCTTCGGCTCAGCCACACCAGAGCCGTTTATACTGAGAGAGTTTGGCCTTCTTAAGGAGATTTTGACAGTCTGACAACCACAGCATCGTAGTCTGACAACCGGGGGATGACTACTTCCGTCCGCCATATTGTGGATCTGACTCATAGGAACTCTACGCGATTTCACAGGAATGAACAAGACAAAGAAGTAACGCCATATTGTGTTATCGCGAAATCCGCTTGTTCTAGCGGCCAACAAGCTCCGCCCATCGGCCAAACTCTCTCAGTATAAACGGCTCTGAGCCACACCAGCCATCGTCGGACCACCGCGTACCATTCGCAGACCAACGGACTAACGGAGTGGCTCAACAAGACGATCGCAGACATGATCTCCATGTACGTCGACGCAAAGCACAAGACATGGGGCAAGCTATTACCATACGTCACGTTCGCCCACAACACCGCAGCTAAAAAAAAAACAATCAGGTTTTCACCATTCGAGCTGGTGCATGGCAGAAAAGTGACTACCATGCTGGGCGCGATGCTGCCGAGCATGGTAGTCAGGATGACGGATGCGACGATGCCCAGGCGGTCAATCAGAGAGCAGAAGAGGCACGCCAACTAGCCCGCCTTCGAAACCACGGTCAACAGCGTGTCAACGCTCGCCGTTACAATCTTCGTCGCCGCGCCATCCACTTCCAGCCCGGAGACAGAGTATGGGTGTCGACGCCGATTCGTCGCTGCGGTTTCAGCGAAAAACGGCTGAAGCGCTACTTTGGGCCTTACAAGACCATCCGACGCCTCGGAGATCTGAACTATGAAGGTCTTCCCGACGGAATACCACCATTAACAAGACGTCAGCTGCGACCCGAGGTGGTGGACGTCGTCCGACAGAAGCCGTATTACGAACGATAGAACTTTCCACTCTTGTCGACGAGTGAACTGTGAACTGCGGCTCGCGATTCTGCTGTCATTTTGTTGTGGATTTGTTTTTTCGTTTTGGGCTGCATCGGGACGATGCACTTTTTTTAAAGAAAGAACTATGCCGCGAGCGCAGCTGACCAAGCAGGCAGCGAGCCCGTGGCCTAACGGTTATCGCGCTTGTATTCCACGCAGAAGGCCAGCGTTCGATTCCTGGCCGCGTCTACACGTTCTTGTTGACGCTGTAATGCGTCAACAAAAATGGTAGGTTCGAGAACCGTGTTGCTTGTTCGAGGTCAGATTGTTTTACACGCCGAACCTTCTACGCCGATTATTGTAGAAGCGCATGTACATACATAAGTTGCTCCGCGTGGCGATCCTCGATCAGTCTCGCCCCAGCGCTCGATGCTGCAGTTACGCCGACTTCGACGCCCACGACGTTCTGCTCTTGTCTTCTGTTTCCTTTTTGTTTTGGGCACAAGTTCGCCTTATTAAACATTCAGTTTCATCAGTTATTCACCACCTCATCACTTCTCATTCGTGACAATATTTCAGGGTTTATTTTTACTCACAATGTCTGTATTTTCCGGTGTCCACTACAGACTTGACGAATTTGCGGTAACAGTTCCGGTAATTTGGGGAACATACAACAGACGAAATTGATAACATTGCGAGCTGGGCGGCGTAAATGTTTCTGCGACGTCTCTGGTAGAGATAGTATAGTTCCGACCAATCCCTGCTACATATCTGTGACTATTTTCTCCGCTTATTTTCTATAACTGTTGTAGCTGCGGTTACAAATTATGGTCCTGCTTGAAGAACAAACAAACATTCATCTAGTTTTTAGAGTTTTTACGTGAAAAGTGAAAACGAAATTATGCCTGTTACTTTAATTCCTGTAAGAAAGATTTTTTTCTTTACTTTAACATATTTTGACTTACTGCCAAATAGCGAACGAAACATTTCGAAAAGTTCTTTATGAAAATCTGAAGTTCTTTATGAAAATCTGAAAATATAGTCTTAGGCAAAAATGTCCACGTTGAAGGCATATTTTGAAGCTCTGTTACACTGACAAAGAATGATGCAACATGCTTTTATTAAATCAACAGAGACATAAACTAGATGACAATTTTGTTTTCATTTTTCCTTTGAAGAAAATTGAAGATGTCATTTTTTGGTCAATTACACACAAACGTTTTTACTTGAAACATGTTCCGAAGAGTGCATAATACTCAGTAGAAGTAAATAAGTTGCGTTTTGATATAACTTTAAGTAATAAAATGTGAAAAAAAGTTTAAATTAAAACAGCACTTCGGGCAAGTTGCTTTATGGTCACCTAGACAAGCACCAAAAATACGCAAAAACAAGAAAGTTGACGATACAGCGTGCCCTGTAATGTTCACTATCTTGTTATTGTGCAATTTTGGTTCTTGTTTAGGTGAAAAAATTTGATGTCACTTAAAAGCGCTACAGTTCAACGGTTGTCAAATATAGTGACAACACTGAAGATTAGCGAAACTTCTGCACTTTTATAAGCGAAATGAAATTTGTACAGCTCCATAAAATGTGTATCAGTAGTTGGCTTTAAGTTACTACATTTATAAAATATTTTAGTCTGGTGCTTTCTGTGTCATACTCCGTTCACCCTTAAGCTGAGACTTGAAGCTCCATCTTCAGTGCAAGCTCCCCGGCTTCCGTAGTACTTTGGTTGTGCATGCCTGTGCGTTCACACTTGTGTTAGCAAAGGCAGAAAGCTCGCGCTCAAGGTGGAGCTTCTAGTCTCAGCATAAGGGTGAAGGGGGCATAGTAGCTGTCAAGCTTGAGAAAACAAAATACAAAAACAAAGCAAAAAATCACAAGGGGGGTTGCTATTTGGACGCAGTGTCTTATTGCCTTAAAATATTTTTCTTTCTTGCTAAAACTAGATCGACTACGCTTCCTTCATACAACGGGTAGTAACACATAAAAATATTAACGAAAACAAACATGTCAATCGAACTTACTCCTGCGCATAATCTTACCGGTGACACACTCACATTTGCTTTGCACTTCTTCAATACTGACAGCCAGAAAGCGTTTCAATCATAACGTTCTGTAAAACGAAGCGCATAGCAGCTTCTAGAAGTAAGACGAGGTTTTGCTTATAGAGTTTACTTTCCCAGGCTCTAAAGAGCAGTTTTTAGTGAAACGTCGCCTACATTTTAAGGGTTCCACTTTGTATATATTTGTAAAAAAATTTAGAACATTATCAGAACCCTGAGATATACATCAAGGGATCCTAATTGTTCCTGTTTTTAAAGATAGAACCAGTTGATTGAGAAAGCAAAAACAAGAAGATTCTGAAGCAAATAAAATCACGACGTAGATATTTGGAACCGAGGACCGCACCACAACTCATGATTTCATATTTGTGTTCCGTTGCCACACTTGAGAATAGAAGGTTAGAAATGGTCCATTGCTTTAGGTAATCGGCTGATTTCAGTCTTTTTAAGTAGACTCGATTAATCTTTCTCCGTGATACGAAAATTTTCACGAACATCATCATTGAGGGTTTTTTCGTTGAGGCTCAATATAGACAGACAAACAAAACCTCGTCAGAAAAATAAACAAAATAGCAGGTGACAAACCCACATTCTTCGCGGTCACGGGAGATCCAGGTCATTCCACAGAGTCATCACGTCGCTTTCTTTTGTCTTGAGGGCGATTCTCTCTTTCATCTGCTCGACCTGTTTCGGTGAAAAATGGTTCTTCCAATCTCCGATGATGCCCTTCCGTACAAAGTCACCAGACACCGGTTTCTTCCAGAGATCTCCGAGGGATTCTTTCATTAGTAGAAGAGATCCTGGTACTTCTTGAGGATCCACGTCATCCAAACTCTTTGTCCAGTTCTTCATGCCCTTGTTGAGACTTTTCATTGACTCCAGGCTTGTCGTTGAAACAATTCGTTCCAGGACCGCGGGTTGGTTCCGGAGTCTTTTGCCGTAGTCTTCTCCGATGAAATCGGCCACCTTCAGAATGCACGACTTGGAGTCTTTCTTGAGATCCTCGTAGGTGACGAACAGTACGTTAGGGTCTTCCCGATGTGCGTACCAGGACAGAAGGTGATCGAAGTAGTCTCCGTAGTCTACCCTCCCTTGAACAAATAAGTCGAAAAACTCGTCGAAGGTCCCGTTGTCGAACTGGTACGCCGGGAAGTTCTTGGTGTGGTAGTAGAAGGAGACGCAACAGTCATAAGGATTCCTGGTAATGTAAATGTATTTTGCGCGTTCGGAGTAGGGCTGCTTGTCAAATGGCAGGTGCGTCTTGATCGCTCCCGGCCTGGGCATGCTCTTGGCTCCTTCGGCGCCCAAGAACTCGAGGAATGGCGCGGACTTTATGAAGTTGATCATGTCTTGCGGACAGACACCGTCATTGAAGATGCTGTAGGCGATGTACTGCATCCATGTCGTTCCGCACTTGGGATAGGACACGATGAAGACGTCGTTCGGTTGGGGTTCGTAGGACAGGGCCGAACGGATTGCCTTCTCTTGAAATACGCGGCACAGGTACAAACCTTCAACGTCCCTGTATGTTCCGACGCTCATGTTGTGATTTGCGAGAGGTGATCTGCAACACAAGAGAGATGAAAAAAAAAGAAGAAATATATTGCAGGAAAACAAATTGATGATCGAGGCAAATTTGTAGAAACCACGGAGGTTCACGCACCGTGGATATGTGGCTATAGGGCAGGGTGTAAGATAGGCAAGTGGGGAAACGACCCATAGAAGCCTACCGCAGCGACGTGACCGGATTGTGTACTCGTCTGCTTGCGGGTACCCCCGATTTGCGACAGATGGCGCTGCGGCAAGAGGAAAAAAAATGGAATCGGATTGGCATGGAAATTTATGGGAGAGTGCGCAAAATAAACCGAGAGCACGATAGTTCTCTATTGAAAATCCACGAGAAACCACCTCCGTCAGTTTAGCCGGTCGCCACCGGTCGCCCACCTGGAGTGAGAGTTCGCGGTGCTGCACATAGATGGCGCCACAGAAAAAGAGAAACCGAGGGGTACCTAATCCGATCGCTCATTTGGCTCTCGTTTCCCCACCTGTCTATCTTACACCCTGCTATAGAATTAGGTGTAATGAGCGCTCTGCCTTTAGGGTAGTTCCACGTGCCGCGGGTTCGTGACGACAAAAATGGCGCAGTGGTGAGGATGCCGATTAATTTCTGCTTGAAGGAGCGTAGCGTGAAGCGTGTCCTCTATATCTGTTGTGCACTAAAGTGTTGTGCGCGAGAGCCCTGTGCGAGAAAGTGTTTCCTATTCCGCTTGCTCATGCAGGGCGCACTTCTACGGGGTGCCTCCTGGAGTGGAACCCCAGTTGTTATCATGCCTTGTTTTTTCGTATAGCTAATGTCGCATCGCGTGACGGCTGTGTTCTCTCTTGCTCAATATATAACAGTAATTGCCAGCTACGATTTATGGGGCCCTCTCGTTTATAAATAAAGGTAAAAAAAAACATCAGCCATTCTACTTTGTGAAGGTGGGTGATCAGCGAACCTTTTAGCACAGACGTGAAACAGAATTTGGAACGAAGGTACGAACACATTTATTGTCTTGATCGGTGGTAATCGTGATGAGCCGGAGGAAACTAGACACACGCGACGGGACTGCCACCCGGCGGAAAGTAAGCAGCAACGACGGGACTGCCACATCGGGATTGCGGAAGGAAAGGAAACTAGGCACTCAAGCGGGGCTTGGGACGAAGACAAAGAGAGGGCGGTGGGAGGGGGGGGGGGGGGGGGGGGGGCAAGCGTAGACACGGCCGACGCAGGTCAGACAGTGGCGAATCTTTGAGAATCCTTTATTATCTACCTGGGAGTCTATTGATCTTTAAAAGTGTTCCTATTGATAACTAATCTGCTGAAAATGCATATCCAAGTGATAAGACGTGTAAGCGTTTGCATAGATTGAAGCCATTTTGCGTCAGATTCGGGACGAGTTTTTGTTTACGCACACGAAAAATCCACGGAACGCTAGCCATAAACAGCTTCGCTGTAAAAAGGACATAAGCAGATTCGCGCCGCGCTGCAAGAGAGGCTATGTGGAGCGAAAGTTTGTGTGGTCGTTGCGCAAGGGTTGCACTGACGCCAGAACGCTGATCTCTGATTGTCTGTGGTGGAGTGATAGTGGGAAGACTAAAATGCTAGCTGCCTTGAGGTCTACCGACTATTCTTCCAAATGCGACCAATCAGAGCTCGGCGTTCTGACGTCACCGTCACCGCTTCCAAAGAATCACACGAATTTCCATAATCCGCGAGGCAAGGATTTAAGGAGTTATAATATTCCGTCCCTAAATATCCTAACCTTTTCGAAAATGATCGCACTTTGACCTGGGGACAAAGAACTGCAGCCTCAAATGGTGGTTTGTGAACTGCATACAGGGAAAAAAATAGATCGTAAGACATTTCACCCATTTTAACAATCGAGATGTTATCGAAATCGCAAGAGATTGTCCTTACATTACCAAGGATGCTGTCCCTAAAAAAAGGAAGAGTCGAGAATCTACAGGCTACAGCCCGCCTAAACAAAACATGGCTGTCGCCACATCGCAACTTGCGAAGTTGTCATCGCCATGCTATTCTTTTAAAAGTGGCTCTACTTCTGGAGAAACTGTTGCTTCTTCTAGCAGAAAGGCAGCGAACAAATTGGTCGGAATGTTAAATCAGTGCGCCTGTCCAAATACGTTTTAGGTATTGCACACTCTTCCGGAATCTGAAGCGCGTGTTGCTTCTTCTCTATGTTGAAGATATAATTAACCAATGCGTTACAGTCAACAAGGTCGTTGTCTTCGAAGTGTGCAACTCTAGTAATCACGCCTTTTGCTTTCTTGTGAAACTGTCGTCATTGTACATCGGTGCCGAGACCAATTCTATCCACGAAATAGCAGGCCTAAATGCTGAATAAAGGTACAAGCTGCTTCTCACGAAGATGGTGCACGAAATCCGCGGCAGCAGACAATATACCTCTTGCAAAGTCGAAGCGATCCTAGCGGCGTAGTGCTGTGCACAGCATGTTTGGAAACCCTTGCCCACAGTTTCGGTTTCCATTTGCCAACCCCACTTCACAACGCCCCATCACGATCAAATGCGGTGCTCGTATTTTGAAATATGTGGCTTTCCTTAAATTTACGTTAAATATAGGTGTTTTCTAACAATATACCGATGAAATGCTGGGGCACTTTTTTTTTGGAAGCTCCCAACGTGTTAGAGTGTGTACGCATGATAACAGGACTACGAAAGCACACATGGAAGAAGTATACTGGTCCCGTCATCGTGTTCTATCTCCTCAATGGTCTGCTTAAATTATCCGCTTGCCGGGTGGGTCATGCTTCACTCTGAACTGGTAGCGAGGCCGCCAGTTATGTATGCTGGCCGTGCTTTTACTCCTCGCTAAGCCTAGCCAGGATTTTACGGTCACTGGAGGCCCGCGTTTTAACGGTGGCTCCCACGAAGATGAATCGGTGCACTTAGAGCCGCTAAATGAGCTGCGCTTATAGTATCGACACTCAGTTACCCAAAACTGTTATGGGAGCCGTGATTTTGATGCTTGTGCAGAGCAGACGCAACTGCAGATTGTCATGTTTCAAAAGTGCGACTTCATCAGCATTAGATTCGATGTTAAGAAGCTCATATAATATTTCTTTGCTTTGTCACGAACTGTTTAAACATTTATGGAAGACGGACAAGCGGTTCCTGGGATTTCAGGTAAAGCTGCAGATAACTGGCAACCATAATTTTACGCCAGAATATGGCCAATTGTCGATCCGCTGAAGTGTAGCTTATTTAGTGGCGCTAGGTTCAATCTAAGCGAGCGCTGACCTTTTTTGCATGCGGTGCAGATATCTGTACCACTTGATAAACGGGCCGATTGAAGCGGAAACCGTGCCACTCCTCTTCATGGCAAAAAAGGTACCATAAAGGTCGGTTCTCACATGCAGCGAAGCGCTGATGGAGCGCTGCTCACGTGTTGACTGCTACTTATCGTCTGCCGTGAGCAACAGTTTTGGAGGTGCGATACCAAGCTGGTGAACGCTCCCGTCTGCACGCGCTTAGCGCGAGGTCAGCTGCAAGTGTGAACAGGCCTTAATGCAGCTCGCGCAGTGTTTCATGCAAGCCTTTTTGGTGAACAGCGCAACGCACAAAATAACAAGGACAAAAAAAAAAAAAAAAAGCAACACGCACGACACGCAAGCGCTGACTCGGAACTGAATTTATACATAAAAGGTCAGCGTTTGAGTGTAGTGCATGTTCCCTTTCTCTGTCCTTGTCTTTTTGTTCGCTGTACTGCTCACAATGTCAGACTAACTAGCCCAGCTTGCCACACTTCTGCGGGCATTTTTGGAAGTAGTCTATTCCGCTCGAAATGTTTTGACTTCACTTCTTCATAAAATCCTGAAATAAAGAAACTTGTTTTAAAATAAATAAGAATATAGAACGAACATTCACTGTTATCCTTTAGCGTGAAATGCATGCCTCAATGCGTGCGGGAGGATGTAAGGTTTTTTTATTTTTTTTATCCATATTCACTTCAATATTGGCGCGTGCGAATATCTGGGTCAGCAGAGTGCTCGACCCCTACGACGCTGGCTGGGGTTTGATCTCCGCCAGTGCTTGTCCTTCCTATCTTTTTTCTTGTTTGCACAACTGGGGCCCTAAACTCGTCAAACAGAAAGTTGGAGCCGAACGTTTGTGGAGCGTGCCGATTGGACGTCGGAGAAAAAAGCGCGAAGTCATCATCGTGATAGGCCAATCGGTGCGCTCTGCCAACTTCGGCCCCAACTTTGTGTTTGACGAGTTTAGAGGCCCTGGGGCCCTAAACTCGTCAGACACAAGATTGGAGTCTAATGTTCGCGGAGCGCGCCGATTGGACGCTGGCGACAAAAACGCGAAGTCATCGTCGTGAGAGTCCAATCGGTGCTCTCCGTGAGCTTCAACCCCAATTTGTGTTTGATGAGTTAAGAGCCCCTGGAAATGCTCCAGATTATTCGAAAATCATATTGTTTGTTTGAGCTAAGAAAGTTCTAGATACCCACGCGCTTACAAAAGGAGCTTCACATGGCTGCTTGATGCAGTCGTCCTTCTGCTGCCGACAAAGTATGTGCGGTCTTTTTTACTTTATGCTCCTCGGCACAAGTTTGCCCCACTAAACGTTAAATTTAAGTTTTATTATTAATGTCTATGTTTCGTACTGTGACAGTATGACTTTTCCAGCATTTGTATATTGACTTTAATTTTCAGTTACGCCCTTGAGTAAAATATCAAATTTCTGTATCGTAAGGGAGATTTCTGACAGCTACGGAACCGCAGTACATTTCCATATCAGATGCAAGAAGCCACCGGGACTTTGCGCGTGGTGCCATCGCACAGCGTCGTGAACAAGTTACATGCATTTGATTTTCTTCTCGGCACACATCCGCTTGTAGGGGGCATTCACTGGACGCCATATATGAGGAAGCTGTTTAGAGCGCATGCCCGAAACGAGCTCACTCTAATAGGCTGTTAAGACCAGCAATCTTGAAGGTGCGGGTTGCACGTTGCAAAAGAACTGCGGAAGATCGCCGTCAGCACGTGCTCAGCAGCGCCCGCACAGCTATGGCCACCAATGAATATTCCCTATAGGAAGTATTCATTGGCGGCCACAGCTATGGCTGCCAGTGAATACTTTCTATAGGGAGTATTCATTGGCGGTCATAGCTGTGTGCGCGACTGCTGAGGGCGTGCTGATGGCTAGCTTTCAGGGTTCTTTGGCAACGTGCATTCCACACCGCCAAAATGGCCGGTCTTAGCAGCCTATTAATGGGGGCTCGCTCTGAGCATGCGCTCTAGAGAGCACCCACAAATATGGCGCCCAGTAAATACCCCTTATAGACGCTTTACACACGCGCCAGATTGAGCCGCCATAGCCGCCCTTCTCTTGTCTTACCGAGATGCCGAGCCACTGAAGCGGGCGTTGACGGGTCTTCACAAGGGCCTGCTGGGCACAAGAACACAGTAGCATCTGAAATGGCAATAACCTGTCCTGCTGTAATAATGATGAAGTGAAGCGAACGGAATAAGAGGGAACAAAAACTGAAGGTCAGTTATGGCGGCGCCCATGCACAGCTGCTGTAAAGCGTCTATAGCCACAGTACCGTGGGGTGCGTGAACAAAAGCTTTCGGACTAATATAAACATTTGTTCTGTTCCGAACACTTTTTTTTTTTGCTCCGTGTTCGCAACGCTATTGTTTTGTTCCATATTGTTCCGAACGCTTTCTTTTTTTATTTTTTTTATTCGAACAGCGTGAATACGCGCTTCCAGGCATGAGCTCTTGGCATTTATAGTACTAAAACGGCATTTTGTTATGGTCTATTATTTTTTTTTCGAGAGCGCGTGCAGTGGGCATCGGGAACTACAAAATGCCTCTTCGCCTCGAGGTTGGATTGGCACGCTTCATGTAGTTAAAAGCAGAGCTGCGCCTTGTTTTACTCTTACTTGGAGCAAAACGAATGCCACGCACGCGAGCCGAAGCCACAAGAGGCGCCAATGCAGCGCTCGCGCACTGGAATCAACTGCTAAGGCTGGTTCACACATTTACATTGGTTGAGTTTGCATGCAACCGCAACGACCGTAACGACAACGTCACCGGGAAAACTGTTTGCCGTACACAACATGGCAAGCGTTTCAAGGGGTAGCTTGGCGAAGAAATCCATGAGTCACGATTGTTGCGGTATTTTGGTCGTTAGGGTCGTTTCGGTTGCATCCGACCGCCAGAGCCGTGTATACAGAGTGTTTGGTCAATGGGAGGCGCGGGCAGAGCGTGGGCGTGCACCTGACGTAGAAAGTGGGCTTGACATGCTCTCTTGGCCAACCAGAAGCCTAAAAAAATCCCCTAGCGGTGGTAGCGAGAAACTGTTTTACTCTACGGTATATGTTGGTATATGCTTTTGATAGCCGCGTAAGAGTGAAGTGTAGTAGCCCTTCGTGGTTGAAAATAGGATGCACCAGGTGTTTCGATCATAAACATGCAGAAAGATGTAAGAAACGAATATGCCGCTCAATTCTCTTTTGGTCGGACAGAGTGTGACCGCTCGGTCGGGAGATTCCCAGCCCTCGGCGCTTGGCATACGGATTATGTCGATCGTTCCGCTAGTCGCACACTGCCGCCATGATTTTGAATGAGCGTGATTGAAACATCACTTGCACCATATCTTCAGTCAGCGAGAGTTACTCCGACGCACTTATTAAGTTTGTTTCTCGCGACCACCGCCAGGATATAATTTCCGGCTTCTGGTTGGCTACATTCGAATTTGTGAAGACGCCCTGGAACACGCCCAGCCCGCTTTCGGCCAATGGCGCTTCCTCATTTGTCTCCTATTCTTCCCAACGAATGGCCAAACTCTCTACATATGCGGCTCTGGCGACCGCAACCGTTGCAAGTTTGTGATTCAGGCTTAAGAGCTCGTGCCCTGTCCCCGTGCCCGTGCTCTGTGCCGTTGGTGTGGATGCTTTGTTTCCACCCGCATTGCGGACAGATTGAATCACAACGTGCCTCATAGAGAACCATGAATAAACAAGAGGACGCTTCCTTTAATTTCAATTTGGGTCTCGAGGCCAATAGACAATTGCATACAATGTGACTGAGCTCCACCTTCTTTCTGCTCGTGCGAAAAACTCCGTGCTATTGTAAGCTGGCCAAAGCTGTGTTCACGCGCAAGCGGCAGGTGTTTGCATGCGTGGGGCACAAGTCGAGACGCCGTGCTTACAATAGACCGATGTCACTAAGCGTTCAGTGCATCCGTAATGCCGCCGTAACTTTAGTTCACAGGAAACAGACGGCAGTGCACGAGAGGGCTCGGGCCGTTTCTTGCTCTACACGCGCAGAGCCCCAGCGAGGTTGTTGCACGTGCAGAAAGACGAAAGTTCCCTCCATGCATCGCGAAAGCGGTGACGTCGTCAAACTGGCTGGTGACATCGGTCTATTGACTATACTCCGACTCACACGTCTCTGCAGTAGAGCCAAGGGCACAGCCGCGTGAGCCCAGTTTGCCAGAATGCCTGTGTTCGTACAACAACTCGTGCGTAGGAGGAACTTTCCGCAGCCGCCGTACTAGTGCCAATTTCTTTTCTTGCACAGTAAATGTTTGTGAGATAATTATAAAGCGGGCTGGTTAACGTTGCGGCATAGTGCTGTAGTACCTAGAGTGCTTTCATGTGCGCTTTGCTTATGGTGTTAGAATTTCACCATTTCGTCCCACACGTTTATTTATTATTCAGAAGCTCGTGAAAGAGCGTGTCCCTGCACGCGTTTGTGGCGCTGACTGTGCTATGGCGACATTTTGTTTTCGTCGAATTCTTTGTATTTTCCCTGTGAGCGCGTTCTGTCGGCATCGGGTACTAAAAAGGGTGGCATCGCCCTAAACAGAAGGACGTTGAGGCACCCTAGTGGTACCTAAAGCCTCTATATCCTGGGAAAGTGGCAGCCTTCATTGTTGTGGAAATGCCCGAGACACGTGCAGCGCGCCACTTCTGGGACGAACATGGCGTCCGAAATCTAGCTCAGTACAGCGCTGTGCCGCCGTGGTCATCCCAAGGGCTGCACGTTGCACGTGCCTCGTGCAACGACGCACCTTTCGCAACTTGAAAGGGGCTTTAGTAGTAAAGCCTGGTTCAGACAGTTGCGTTTGACTGCGTCTGACTGCGTTGCGGCAGAGAGAAACCAGGACAACCCTGCTGCTTATATCGCGTGCCAAGATGATTCCTTGAATTGGATTCCTCGCTTCAAACGAAACACAGATGTGCCGGTGACTCGCTTTCAGTTCTCGACGCAACGCTGTCAAACGCATTCAAACACAAGTGTCTGAACGCAGCAGACCCAGGTTTGATTTCCGCGGGCGGCGGGCCATATTTTTCAACGATTTCGTCATGTCGCCGATGGACGCCCTACTACTACAACTACATCATATACAAGTTCAGCTACAGATGTCATTTTCAGTGTTTGAAAAACCCAATAATCTATCGCTGTATGAAAAAAAATTTGAGGCTTAAATTTTTTTGTTTGTCTCGTAAAAAAAATCTCCTATTGAGAACCGTCCTTTCAGATCTTCACTTTTTGTCCCTCGGTTACGTGTAAACAACAATGTAAAAATTCGATGTATATGAAACGTAATAAGCGGCTTAAGGCACATTTTTCAATCTGAAATGCAATATTGGGGACGAGATCGAACAGTCACGCCTCTGGTGGCGTGCTTCAGCAGTGTGGGCAACAAACCAAATTTTCTTGTTTGTTGTTGATCAGAGAAATTGAAGATGACGATTCGAAGACCGCTTTGCGTGCGTCCAAAGCACTAGTCAAAGCGAAGCGCTCGTGCCCAGACCGTGCTCCGCAAGGTTCAATTCCTTTGTTATGCTGTGTAAGTAAACACCGGGCTCTGTGGACAACAAGCTCGATAAAGCGCCCCTTATAGTTCGATCTCCTGCCCAATAGACTCCGCGAGAAGTTATTTTTATGACCGGCGAAGTACACGAAGATTGTTGAAACACTAAATTTCCGGTGCGCGATGTGAAACGACGGACCTCAAAAGTCTCAACATCGTCCGCATTGGCACCGTCTAAACGACCGTCGTGCGTATTCTACGTGCCACAAGCTCGAAAGGTTTCGTAAATGTACGCCCTGAAAAGCTCCGAGCAGGTTGCACATTCGGTGACTCTCGTGTTTATTCTTAATTCTAAACTATATTTCCATTGTACAGCTAATCACATGTCTTACAAATACAGAAATATCCGGTAAAAAAAAGACAATTAATTGAACACCTTTAAAATGGAAATTTTTTTGTTAAAACAGAACGCAAACAGATTATATATATCGAGAGTAATGAAAATGTCTGCATCGTTGTTTTTTCGTCTCACTTCATCCCAATTCAAGCGAATTATTTGGCAGCTTTTTCCGTTTTTGTGTTAATCCCTTTACTTTGATGGCACGGTAGGGCTAATGTTGCCGAAAGTTTTTTTTCTGGAACATTCTGCGGCTCCTACCCAAAGGGAGTGCGAAACCGTATCAGGTGCTGCTTCCTTTTCCAAACTGCTTGCTCGTCCCCGTCCGCCGAGATAATATTTGTTATAGTGTAGGTTTTGTAGCTTCCGAGTTATAGTTTTCCTCGCCGAGGCTTTTTGAAAATGTCGTTTCAAAAATTTGCGTATACTCATCTTGTAGATCGCGTTTCTAATAGTTTCGTACTGTTTAAAGCCTGTCTCAAACATAAAACCATATCAATGACAAGATATCGACCAACACCCAACGTCTGCTGTAGACTCAAAGTTCACTACGATCGAGAGACACCGTCACCCACCTCTGGGAGAGCGACCGTCAAAGACTCCTCCAGCCGTCGATGCGCAGTTGATTTCTCGGCCTTCGCCAGGCTTCACGACGCGTCCTCTCCGAGACCGCGCGTGACTGTAGGGAGGTTTTCGCTATCGTTGCCTGTCGGACCCAGAAGCAATCAGCAATCGCTTTCAATGGGTTCCTCCTCGCACTCTCCATTGTGTTCTTTTCCTTTCCTCACTCGCTATATGCCTTCTTTCTTTTCCTCGCTTGAGCTGAGCCAACGCTGAGCCCGACGGCCCGGCTCTTCCGCACAATTAAGCTAGCTTTAATGACCCAGTTTTTCACGCAAGGACAAACCCCAAATGAACATCTCGCACGATGCTGGCTACAACTTCCACGAGGAACGTTCATCGAGTTTAGGAAAGGGCACTCATACCAGCGGTTGTTGACCCTGTTTGCTACGCTCGTCTTTGACAGCTCTCGGCTCGGGTGATAGACACGGACCAGCAACTTTGCGCACCCTTGCTCGCGTCAAGAGCAGGTCACGCCGAAGCGGACGGGCGCAATGGCTGTGCCATGAACCGTACACAAATCTTTCGCGCTTCCAAAAACGGGTACATGCGCATGCGTATAGTGCTCCCAGTTGCCTGTTTATTAAAAGGAAGCTGAAGCGGTTGTGTATTTGAGGAAAAACACTTAAACCGTCTGTATTTGGCCTCCAGGGTTCACGAACATCGATATAATTTTTCAATTTGGTGCGCATAATCTGCAGATAATCATTCTCGAAGTACCGCTGCAGCTACTTCTTCCCGGAGCGTGACATCATATCAAGAGTTTTCGGAATTTCCGCTCTCGCGCATTTCCGCGCATATCAAAGCTATGCCCGCACACTCTCGCTATTTAAAAAAAAAAAAAAAAAAGAGGACCAGGAAAAAGACGCGCCATCCACGCGAGCGACACACGCTTGCGGCCGAAAATTCTCGGTGGCCTTTTGTGCATTCTCTTGTTTAGTTTCATTTTCGGGGAAAACGAACGTGATATTTGGATTCACGGGATAAAAGTACTATGGAATTTACCTCTAACTCGTTTTTTTTTTTTTTTTGTTTCTTCAAGAACCTCTTTAGTCCTATCTTAAGATATCCTAGGTTTTTACGATTCTTAAGAATCGGGGTGTGACGTTACGGGTTTTTATTTAACTTGCGGATTGGGTGTTTATTGGAGTCAGTATTGGATGTTGGACAAAAATTGGCATTTATCGGGGCTTATGCTGAAGAAAAGAGGACACGGGCGTGTAATTTCTTAACCTTCAGGGAACATACGAGTGTCCCGTAAACCTTATTTTCCGGTCCGTGTTATCCGCAATTCGTGCATATAGTCCGCAGGGGCAAGTTTGGGGTAAAAATAATAGTGTTTGCTTAAACTCCCTGTCTATAGCCCTGACGTCGTGCATACTCCGAACTTAGTGTCTAATCCGAACGTAAAAAATTACGATGCACAGCACACCTTGACAAAATGCTCTCTACATTAGCTCACAAAGAATAATGTATTGTACATAAATCAACATTTTTATACTCTGTGATTCATCAAACCTTTCACGTCTTACCACAGTAAATGATCTAGCAAAAAAAAAAAATCTTGTATAGCCCGCATTTGTCTGGGTAGAATTTTGTCTTGGTAAGATTTCAATTTTTAAACATATATAGTCCGCGAACGGTAGTCCGGAAAGACGGCACTTGAGAAGCGTCCCGGTATCCGAGGAAAAGGGGCGAGGGGTATGGTACCCGAGGAAAGAGACAGTCTCGCGGACAGTTCAGCTGACTGATTTGACAGTTCAGCTGACTGACTGACTGATGAGAAAAATCTGTGAATGTGAACATGCTTTTATAGGATAGAATTCGTGCTATAACTTTAAGCACGGGGAATATCACTAGATATTTATTTTTGCCGCACTAGAGGAATTTAGAGCTAACCGCCAACATTGAAAGACATTAAAGAACTATAGAAAATCTCTTGGAGCTAGTAACACAAGTTTAAATGCAATGAGAAAGCCTTAAACCTGTGACTATTTCTTTTTTACATTAGCAATTTACTAGAGACTTCAAAAATTATTTGAACACGTTTAATATTTACTTGTAATAGTTTGTTTGCGTTTGCAGTTGGGGCCAATTTTTGTGGCCCTTTTACCGAGACCATTCCTATATTGTAACCAGTGTGTCGAACCGAAAAAAATACGGGTTCGGTTACGGTTCAGGTTCAGGTAAATTTATTTTGTTTCGGTTCAGTTCCGGTTCGATAAATTCGATCCGCGAACCAGTTCGCGAACCGGTTCGGGACGCTGAACCGGTTCTCGAACCGGTTCGGAAATTATAAATGACAAATTGCAACATCAAAATAAGTTACAAATAAAACATCTGAATTCAGCACACACGAAACGGGATACATCGTAGTGTAAGGCTCAGGGATTTCTACCAGGAATGGTTTCTTTATGTGCACTCAAAGGTTACCTCACCGACGTTTACGCATTCGGACTTCATCTAATTGGGTCCGACGCAGTAGCTATAAAATCCGGCACCTCCTTACAAACCCACTTACAAGTAGAACTCGCTAACTATCCCGCCACCTATGCGTGTAAGCAATTGAAGGAACAGTGGGGAGAAAATACAGCTTTCTTTATTTGAACTGGCCTTCGGTAACTCAAATTAGACCCCTAAAGAAGTTTTCATTAAACAAGATACGGAATATGAGAAACACTTCACCGAACGCAACGCCAGAAGGACGTAATAGGATAAATATTAAAATAGAAGAGTTCGCTGTCTTACAAATATGTTAGCTTCTAAGTGCCTATACGAAACCGGATGCATTATTATCGAACTCCACAGCCTTTTCTTTTCTCATTCCGATGGAAGCAAGCTTCAAGAACTCGCGCGTTCTAGAAACGTGTTATGAAATGAACACACAGCAACATTTAGGATTTACGAGATTGTAGAAAAATGAAATGCCGTGACGCGATTTTTTTTTTTGCACAGCCTTCCATTTTTCTTTTTCCGTGCAAGCCACGACCAGCGCAATACTGGTTCCTATGTCAAGACTCATGGATGCAGCGTTTGTCAAGATTCATAGATGCAGCGTTTATATTCCTAAGACTGACTGGAGAAGAAAAATATGTAAGCGAGGTGTTTGTCAGTTGACGGCGCTTAAAAAAACAATAGGCATTGATAGCACATTCATTGTCAACAGCGCGTGGCCGAACCGTTTTGACATGAGCCGGTAACCGTTATTTTTTTTCCGGTTCAGTTCCGGTTCGGGTTCATCGCGATAACAATATAACGGTTCGGGTTCGGGTTCAGTTCCGGAAAAAATACCGGTTCGGTTACGGTTTTCGGTTCGGTTCGGTTCCGGTTCGACACCCTGATTGTAACACAAGATCCAGGTTTGATAAAATTGACCAGGTATAGACCTTTGTCCGGAAGTGCTCTTTTTAGCCTCGACCGCAAGGAGCAAAAGCGAACAATAATCTTGAACCCAGACTGCCCAGACGCTCACGGGGAGGGGGGGCTCCGTCGGCCTGCGCCGCCGCTTCCCGTTGAGGGCTTCTTCGCTGGTGTGCCGACTGTCGTTTCGCCAGCATCGGTCCTGTTTACCGCGGTATGTGAGTATAGTGCCCGTAATGGTGAGAGCCGTGTGTCCATACGCCACTTTGCCGCTGTTGGTTTCCGTCTAGCCGAGCCAGAAAACATCTCGCGACGAGTTGACCGCGCCGCGAGTGACGAGGAAGCAAACATGGCGACGGTTTGTGCGATTGCTTTGGTGGCTCCGGTGTTGAGTGTCTTCAACGTCCTCGTGAGAAGGTTCCCCTGCCCTTCGAAGTTATAGCAAGCACCACGAAATATGTGGAATCATCGTCTCAACTACAAATAAGCAGGCCTTCACGAGCAACAACGGTGCCGAGCAGGCGCTCGGCACAGTTGTGTCAGGCTCACGCAGCCAACGGCCCAGTTGTGTTGGTTGTGTCGTCAGATGTTCAACAACGCCGAGGTATTTTCATTTGTAATTTGGAATGGCTTCAAGAGTGGGAAATTAATCCTTTTCGCGGATTGTTAACGCCGAGGCGAGTGCCCTCCGTTGTAATGCCGTCTTCGCGCAAAGTGCAGAGAAAACCGGGTGGAGATGGCGGCGGTTTTCTTTGATCTTGCGCCGTCGGGTTCATGAAGACCGGAGTAAACGTACGTACGTGTGTCTGCTGGATCGGTGTTTTGGACTTCCTCAAAACTCTTTCTCACGCGCATTTTCCTTGTGAAGCTTAGTAGCTCATTACACCTCATCGTCGACTGCGCTCATTTGACTACAACGGACGAGCCTGCGTGATGTGAATTTCACTGCCTAAGATCCTTGGTGTGCTGTAACGAGGGCTAATAAAATATCACCGCGAACTTCTGAACAAACGAGTCGAAGTTTCGTCTGCTATCATAACTGATCACCTGTCACAATATTAATCAGTATCGTTCCTAGACTCCGCCCCCACAGGCACCGTGCTTCGTCGCCCGATAGTAAGTGTCTCCTGGTACCTCGTAGAATTCCGGCTCCCACTTCTAGTAAGTACCATCCTTTAGAACTGGCAATTAATAGTTTCGAACCCAGACGCTCGGAGTGTGTGTTTGTGTGTCTGTGTGTGGGGGGGGACGCGTGCTAACACACTCGGAGCCCTCGTTTACGCCGCTTCGCAGTGGCAAACAAGGTGCCACATTACGAAAGAAAGCTAATCCGAGCTGTCTATGTTACTAGACCCATTCGCTAGTCATTCGATGGAAGGTCGTGGTCTCGTTTTCATTCGCTAAAACGGCGTTCGATCAAGTGAACGCCTCCCACTTATTTCGGCTCGGCAGAGCCGCGCTGCCGCAGAAAGGCAAGCAGATCGGGAAAATCGGTCTCAAACGTGCCACGAATGTAATGTCGCATACAAGAAGCCAACAATCAAGCATTTGAAAGCTACAAGGAAGCGGTAGCGAAATATTTACTACGCAATGAACCCGGACTGAAACGCGGATGTCAAGGGTCAGCAGACGCCGAGAACATTTAAGACAAGAAAGGTTTTCTCTTGTTTTCTTGATCGAGATGGGTTCTTGAATGTTCACGACATCTTATCTGTTG